GCGGAGGGAATCGGGATGTGATGCTTAACTTGAAGAACGGAGGGGAAGAGGAGCTTGTACTCCGCCACGCTTTTGCACCCTCTTGTAAATAAAACTAAGATACTTACGAGGCTAACAGACCACAATCTGAAAAATACTTTGAGGTGTAAGTCCAGATTTCAACAATCTTGCATCAAAAGTTCTAGCCCACAGCTCACATTAACCTTTTGTTTTTTTTTACTGAATGAACAGCCTGACAAAAACTTATCTGTTGTTATTTGCCCTTGAATTTTATGTAAGATGTAAAGACACATAGTGTCGTCAGCATGTGTGTGTGTGTGCGTGTGTGTATGTGTGTGTACAGAAGCGGGTGAACTTTGTCACCCACTTTCAACTCAGCAGCGGGGAGGGCCATGATGCAGCACTGAAGTCCCAGCCAATACCTTTTCTCCCCATGCAAGAAAAGATCAAAATACAGGCACATGAGTTTCACATTTTGAACTGCTAAGCAACAATCATTCACGCAGTTAACGATTTAAGTGCGTCAAGCTTAGCGCAAAATCGCATGATCATGATCATACGGGCAAGCCTGATGCGTTGATGCCTAACCCGCAAGCTTAATTAAGTATGTGAGTCAGGCCCGCGAATCGCCAAAGGTTGCCCATGCCTGCTTTACACACATATACTTTAATCAGCTGCAAGTCATAGAGCTCCTCCAGATATACTACTGGCAACTTTTCCAGTTGTTCTGATCAATCTTTCACTTCTGGGGGTTAACCTGATAACAATCCTGACGTGCGCAACCAGTGCAGCATCTTTTTTATGAGGTTATTTGTTCTTGTGCTCAATGTTCGACCAGTTTCTCGTTTAGTCTAGTTTACAATGCTTACGCACGATTGTAACTTTCCTTTTTTCTCAGCTTTAAAATATAAAGCACGGAGAAGGCTACTTTGCCTTAGTTTATTCTTACATCTCAGTCGCGGATTTCAAGACTTTTCATGTGGTATTTCCATTTCAATGTTCGCTCTCTTGCCAATTTCCCCAAACATCGCCACAACTGAAGAAGAGAAAACAGTCACTGATTTGTTTTATGATAAAAGCCTTTATGGATAGGTGGAATTGTTTACAGCATGGTTTTTTAAGAAC